GGAAGAAACTGAGTATGAGAGACAGACTAGGAGAATTCTGGGAAGAGGGAAGGTGGAGTTGAAGCAGCCTCCAAAGGAGCAAGATGCTTGAGCACTGGTAAGCCACGAGCCACGTGAAGATACAAAGATTAATAGAAATGGGTTAACTTAAATGTAAGAGCTAGTTAGGAATAAGCCTGAGCCATCAGCCAAACATTTATAATTAATATAAGCCTCTGAGTGATTATTTTAAAAGCAGCTGCAGGAACAGGCAGGAGAGAAAAGCCTCTGGTTACAAACAGTGTTTTCCAGACAAAACAAGGTAATTTTCTCTAAGAATTCTGCTCTGGAGAATCTGCCCATGCTCTACTAGATGACTATAGACCACTGCATACCAGTAGCACTAACTAAACTCAGGGGGTTTTAGGCAACAAAACTAGATTACAGGGAACTGGGAAAGAACAATGCCTGGGAGAGTAAGGGAGGAACTGGAAATGGGGAAGGGGCTGACTTGATCAAAACACATTATGTGGGCAAATGAAACCCTCAGTGAGCACACCATTAGAATTCCAAAGGTGTAATCACGGAAAGAACACAAACAAAGCAAGAGCGGCAACAATGAAAATCGGTCTACGGTCTCAGCGGAAGCATTATGGCCGGACCTTGGGTCTGGCAACTACTCTAAACCACAATGTTTCGGTAACTCTCTGAATTTAATCTTTGCCTTGTAAAGCTTATCAGTTCTGTGTTCCTGGGATGGTGTCATTCACCGCATGACAGTCGACTTCAAAGAGGTGACAGGAGAAAGGACATGGACTAGACACCCCAGGAGGTTTCAGTGGCTCTTGAAGAGCATCTTTGACCAATTCTTGCATCCTCAGCAGCAGCTCTGCCAAATAAGACAAGATGAAAAAAACAGACACAGCGACCACAGACCTCCAGATGTTGTAGTGCTGGCCTGTTCAAAGAAAATTAGTAATCAAGTGACGTGAAGCACAGCTTCAAATAGTGTAGATCATTTACAACGGGGTAATTCAGTAAAACTGAGGCAAGAAAATGTGAAGTATTCTGGAAATTTTGAACATTCCAAATGTTTGCTTGGAGCAGTGACTCAGAGAATGTGAGGTCTTGCAGTTAAGGGGTCAGATGACTGTGTAAATATGTAATTTAGATTTCTTTTAGAGAAAATGCAACCTATGACTGCCAATATAATCACATCATGAGACTCATTTAAGGCCTCAGGAATTCTGCTTATTTGTCTGCCTGCCTGTTTATCTGTTACAAACATAAATGCTCTCTTAAAGTGACTTGATGCATTCTTTTCTACAATTAGTCATGTGCTTTCTCCTTGATTGTACAATGTGTGAAAAACACAGCCTGCATTATAGCTTAATTTACAAAAGATGAGGCTATTTTCTTAGGAGAAAATTCAAATTAATTTTAATTTGGTGATATATGATGCCAGTTCTTTTGGGCCAGATGATAAAAAAAAAAAAAAAAAAAAAAAAAAAAAAAAAAAAAAAAACGGTAATGTAGAATTTGTTAACACAAAAAATTTTGCTTTGTTAAAGGCATTGTTAATAGCCTAGAAAAGAAGTATTTGCAAAGTACCTGACCAGTAAAGAACTTTTATTTAAAATGTAAACTCAATGATGTATGTGTAGCTTAAGTTTTCCCGCCTTGCCCACAGTCAGGACAAATCTTTGTCACCCGCCAGTCCCACAGCCGCTCAGACCCAACCAAGTAAACACAGAGACTTATATTGCTTACAAACTGTATGGCCATGGCAGGCTTCTTGCTAACTGTTTGTATAGCTTAAATTAATCCATTTCCATAAATCTATACCCTACATACAGTGGAAAACACTCCATGATGGAAAGAAGAACATGTGTCATCAGGAAAAACGTGGAGTATCTACAGTGGCTTTTGTTTGTTTGTTTACCTTAAAGAGACATGAGTCAAGGGGCTGCATATTGTAGGCTATCAGTTACACAAAACAAAAGATTATAGAAGGCAAAACTATCAACATGATGAAGTAAACAGCAATTTCGAGGGCTCTGGGTCAGGGGAAGGACAAGTGAAGAGAAAATGTATTTCAGGAAAAAAGACAACTCCATGAGGCATTATCATAGTGTGTAAATGTCTTTGCCCATCTCCCCGTATGATTTTACACATGTGTTAAATGTTAGCATTGCAGAAGATTTTTAAACTATGACTTACTAGGACAGAAGGTACCAGTAAAGAACTTGGATTGTTACAAGAAAATATAACTGTATTACCAATAAATAAAACAACTACTGAGAGGGTGATAGCTAGCCTATGACCTGAACAACATTTGAAATGAACAGACTCTGTAAGATAAAAGGGAAAAGAAATTGCACAGAATTCTCTACTCAAGACAATTAGCCCCCCCACCCCCTTGGGCTTTCAGGTTAATAGTGTAGATATTGCTGTATTTGTGTACTGGAATGGACCAGCATTTTTCTTTCAGGAGAGGAAGTTTACACGCAGTCCAATAATGGAGCATCCTACAAAATATCTGGCTCGTGTGACTTATAAGTGTTGAGGTCATCAAAATAAGGAAAGTATGACAAATTGCCTTAGCCAAGAAGAGGCCAAGGAATCCAAAGCAGCAAATAGAATATGTCCCGGATGGGATCCAAGAGCCAGAAAAGGATAGATGGTAAAAAACTAGGGACATATGAACAAATTACAGCTGTGAAACGTGGCTTGGTTAACTGTTAAGAGATACAACAAGCCAATGTACAAAGCTAAGAGGAAATGGAGTGTGGCCTGTTTTTAAACTCCCCTGCATCTTTCCAATTATTTTACACTATTACAAAAAGTAACGTATATTTCAGCCTTTTAAAATAACCAGAAAACACTTGAAAAGCACATGTGATCATAGAAGGGATGCCTTGTGGGAAATATGCTAGCAGCAAAGGCACAAGCCGAAAGCCGGTCTGCTGTCAACCAGGACAGTTTTTGTGCTATTACTAAAACAAATTCGTTTACTCTGGGGAGCTTTGTCGGGTATCACAGTTTTAAATATCTGTGTATGTGCATACCATACTGAACGGTTCTATTTTGCTTATGAAAACAATGCATCAGCTGGAGACAGAATTCAGTGTAGGTCACTTGCCTCTCAGGAGCATGGTCCTCTGTGACTGACCAACATCATTAGAAATAAAAAATGTGTTTGTCTCAAATCGTGTTGTTTATGGTACTCTTAAGCCACAGGGAGCTGAAGTTTGAAAATTTCAAACACCTTAAGTTTGGCAACTTACCACAGACATCTGAGGAGACCTTGTTATTTATTTGTTGGCATTGTTTACCAGGCGAAAGAAAACGTGAGGTGCAATGGAACCCACTAGAAGAGTTTTTATTAGGGAAGGGAAAGGGTGGAGGTGGGTAAGCCTACTGAAAAGAAAGGTGTGGGGGGAGGGAGGGGAAGGAGGGGAGGGGGTGCATGCTACCTCTGGCAAGAGGGAGAGAGAGCAGGGAATGGGTATAGTCCACTTTTATAGGTCACTTTTTGCATACATGCGCATATGGACTTATGTAACTTTACCATGCATGTGATCACACTGTGTGCAGATTACGCAACCATGCTGCACATGGATTCCGTAGGACATAAGGCCCTGGAGTGACTGAGCATTTTGCCTGACTGCTGACAGTGCATGTGCAGTCATGTGACTCCAGAACTGGCTAGGAAAAATAGCATCCCACCCTTTTTGTTATTCTAAAATATAAGGGGTTAGGGATGGTGGGTGAATGGGAAGGGGGGGGCTCCGTGCCTCTTGGCACTGTTTCCAGCTGACTTGGTGGGCATCAGTTAATTTTGGGGGGCTTGGGGGTGGGGAGGCTTTTCTCAAGCTAGCCAGTCATCCTGAGTAGCTGGTTGTTTGCGCTGCTGTTTTGAGCCCTGGGGAATTGTCCAGCTCTGCTTGGATCTGACAGCATGGACCTGACAAACTGAAGTGGATCTGACCTGTCCAGGTGGGTCCAAGCCAACCATCTGGAGCTCAGAAGAATTTTTAAGTTTCCAAAGGAGACAAATTTTAGATATATTAAGAAGCAACCAAAGGGAATTTAAAATCCTGAGCTGGTAGCTATGATATTATAATGTTTAGTGCTCTGCTATCAGAATTTTATTGGTTAGTGTTAAAGTTATGGAGATATATATATATATATATATATATATATATATATATATATATATATAGAGAGAGAGAGAGAGAGAGAGAGAGAGAGAGTTCAAGAACATGCTTTCTTTTTTTTCTATTATTATCAATTAGGCTTCCTATCTTTACCTGAGACAAACGTTAAGGCACCTGTTTCCTTTCATTATGGTGGTATCACTTAGGCATCCAGGAGACACAGGTGATTGATGGCTGAGGGCATTTAACAGTAATAAACTGTTATATTAAAGTCTGTTTTTGCAGAGTCCAGACCCTTATGAGTCTGGGGGTGTGAATACCCCTGGAGTGTTACTCTTTCTTACCACCTGGGCATATTTGAAGGTCTTTGTGCCTCCAGCTCTATGGTTGATGGTGGTCCTGTAACAGTTAGCTGAGTAATTAGAAATTTGAATATGTTATTAGAGACACAGAAGGAAACTGATGAAGCAGAATGTGGTTGGTAGAGGCAGGAGAATGTGGAGGGGGAATCAGGAAGAAAAAACATGGGGTTCCCAATCCAGTGGGATTGAGTATGGTTGTGCAATGAAACCACATTCTTCTGGAATTGGAGACAAGGTAGTTGATCTTGGTGTCCTCTGGGACTTAAGAGAGCAGGGCCCCATTTGCGTCACTGTGTATGAGGAGGAATTCCTCTGGGTTGGGGGTGGGGTAAAAGGCTAGGCGGAGGAGGAGAGGAGCTACTGGCGAGTCTGGGGTCAGGTGAATGGGGGGAGCAAAGGAAATGGAAGCTCCCACCTTGGCTAAAAAAATAAGAGGGATACCCCTGAAAATACAGTTGAGTGGTGGGGTCTGATGAGGTAGGTAAGGCTATCTCCCTACCTTGACAACAGGGAGATGAGAAGGAGATCTGAGTCCCCAAAACTCCCTTAGGGTCAAGTAGTGGCCCCGGTGTCCATGAGGAAGGAAATGGATTGCCCCGATACTGTAACGGCCACCCGAGGCTCCCTGTGGAAGATGACAGTTGTTGGGCCAGAGCCTGGGCATCTTCAATCATTCAATCCAAGCCTAGAAAGTCGGCTGGAGGATGGTCTGAGTTTGATGTCCCCATGCCATGAAGTGCATGGGGCGGCAGCAGGGGGTGGACTTGGGTGGGGTGGGAGGTGGGTGAGTGGGGTGGAGTGGGGGGGCAGTCAACTGACCAATGTTCCTCTTGGTGGCACTTTGGACATGGCCCCGGTGGCCCACGTGGCCCATGTGAACGAGCCCAATGGCCTTGTCAACCACAATTAAAGTAAGGACCTGGGGTCCTTGGGCGGCCTGTTGGATGGCCTTGACCAGCATTTGGTATTCCTGTTAATGTGCTTTCTCATTTCTCCCACGGCATACCTTAAATGCCAGTGCTAAGACTGCCAGTGGGATCAGGGGCCCTCTTTCCAGATGCTTAAGATAGGCATCAGGGAAGGCTCTCCAGGCAGTTTGAAACCTGCTGGGACCCTGAAACCTGGTCCCCTGCAACAGCCCTACATTCCCACCAAAAGGATCTCTGGGACTCTCCATTCAACGCGGACAATTGGTAAGGTCCCTGCTTTTGGCCATATGCCACAAATGAGGCTTTGTTTCTTGAACACAGTCTTTGACTTTCTGTCTTTTCTCGAAGTCCTGGTACCAGGTGACTGTGTCTCCCTTGGGCTTGTAGCCCATCGGCCCCTGCTGTTTTGGATGAGGGTCCACTGAGCAGCTTGTGCCTCCTGGTCGGTCCTCACTGAATCTCGGAGATGCTAGAGATTACAGTCCCTGGACCTTCTCTACTTCACTCTTGGTAAATGTGCCTACCTCCATATCTAGCGCCTGATTTAAGGGCTTAACTTATCCACTTTTGCAGTCAGACTTGGTCCCATAAAATGGTCCCTTACCAGCACCCCATAATCTTGTATTTCACAGGACCTTTTAAAATTCTGCCAGAGATCCCATACATGGAAGGGGGCACTTTCTCTTATGAAGTCCCTACTCTGATGTAGTCTTTCACTCTTTCAGTCTTTGCTCTCTCCCTCCCTCAGACCTTTTGCACTAACCCTGTTGTGTGTGGTGTGTTTGCTTAGTGGAACACCTTGGCTGGGCCTGTCAAAGGTATCTACTTCACACTAGGATCCTGTAGATGTAACAGTCTTGTTGAACAAGAAACACAGAGCCAAATGAAGAGTTAAAAGCCCAAGAGGTCAGAGCAGTAGCTAAGCTGATACTAAAAACCTTTCTTACCCCTTGCTGCCACTGCCGTCCTTCCCCTCTGAAAGAGAGCTACTTCCTGTGTTTCTGTCTTTTTATTGACTTTCTGTTCTGCCTTCTCATTGGTTGTAAACCCAACCACATGACCTCCTCATCACTGCCTGTCTATACAGACCTCCAGGTCTTTTATGATTGGTATTGAGATTAAAGGCGTGTGTCTCCATGCTGGCTGTGTCCTTGAACACACAGAGATCTGCCTGTCATGTGATTGGGATTAAGGGCATGTGCTGCCACTGCCAGACTTCTGCTATGGTTTTGCTATTAGCTCTGACCCCCAGGTAACTTTATTTATTAACATACAAATAAAATCACATTTCAGCACAAATAAAATATCACCATAGGACCCTATCTGTTTGCTCCACCCACAGCAGATCTGTTCTCTTTCACCTGTAGCAAATCTGCTTTCTAATCTTCTCTATTCCACCTGCTTTCTCATTCACCAACAGCTTTGCCTTCCATTCAATACCAACAATTGGGGCTCTGGTGGGGCCACCCACCTCTGACCATTCCCATAGATATGAGGCTTCATTTGTCCAGCACAGTCCTCTCCTCACCTCTTAGCTTTTCTCGAAATCCTGGTACCAGGCCTCTGTGTCTCTCTTGGGCTCTTCGTCCTCTGCCCCTATCCTTGAGTGACAGCACATTGGATAGCTTATGCCCACTTAATCTGATTCTCCCCAGATCCCTGGGAAGCTAGAACATTCAGGCTTTTGAATCTTCTCTCTGCCTCATCCTTAGGAACTGTATCATATACCTCTTTGCTACCATTGGGATGTCTTTTGGAGACCCACTGACCGTTCTTTGGACCAGGCAGTTGGGGAATTGAGAAAGAATTCTCCACTTTCTTCCCTTTTCTTTGCTCCAAGACCTGCTTGTGTGTGTCTGCTCTTTCTCTCTAAATGTTCTATTTGCTGCAACATGTGAATCAGAGATGGAAAGGCCAGCTTCATCTTGCTCAGCACATACCAGTTCTCCCTTTCGATTTACTCAACTCCTGTTAAATTCTGTGTTTGTGCATGTCACTATTAACAACAATCACCTGGCTTGCCTCCATCTTGGCTGGTGACCATAGCAGTATTTCTTATGAGCCCCACAGAGTCAACTTGGATCCATCTGAACAGCATCTTGCCAGGTCCAAGCAGTGCCGGCTGGTTCCACAGAGCCTGGACAGTGAAGTGAAACAGCCAGCTACCCCAGAATGGAGCCAGCACCCTAGTGTGGTGATATATTGTTTACCCTAATAAACTTATCTGGGGATCAGAGGACAGAGCCAGCCACTAAATTAGACATAGAAGTCAGGCAGTGGTGGCACACACATCTTTAATCCTGTCACTCAGGAGGTAGAGATCCAGATGAATCTCTGTGAATTCAAGGCCACACTGGAGACAGCCAGGCATGGTGGCACACACCTTTAATCCCAGCACTTGAGATCTCACTTTGCTTGGGAAGGACACAAGCCTTTAATCCAAAGAAGTAATATGGCAGGCCACAGAAAAATATATAAGGCATGAAGAAACAGTAACTCTCCTCTTGAGACTGAGGATTTCACAGGGGTAAGAACTTGTGGTTGGCTTGCTCTGCTTCTCAGATCTTTCCGCTTTCACTCCAATGTCTGGCTCTGGGTTTTTTTTTTTTAAGACCATTTAAGGTTCATGTTACACCCTAGTTTTCTCAGGTCCCCGAAGGATGATGGATATCCCGCAGCCAGCAGGAAGCAGTCTTGAGAATACGGCATCCTCATTCCTGCCTCACCTGCTACCCTTTCTAACTCCTCACCTTTTCATAATAAACAAAAGGGAGGAATGTTAGCAGTTAGCCATCTCTACTGGCCTGCCCTTAGGACCTGACAGGATATATCTCAGCTGCAGCCAATAAGAGCACTTCCTGTGTGCATTCACTATTCTTATAAAAGGCAGACCTTGTATGCCTCCTCATTCTCTCTCTCTCTCTCTCCATCCCTTCCTTTCTTCCTCTCTCTCCCCCTCTCCCCCTCTCCCCC